GTTTTCCCCCAATAGGAATGCATTAAACAGAGTTTAATGCATTCCTATGGGTCCCCCCCCCGCATAGCGACGAATCCAGATAGCGACGTTAATCCTGGAACGGATTAACGTCGCTATGCGCGGCACCACTGTATTAGAAATCTTAGGTAATAGCATTACTCGAAATAGATTCTGAAGCAACAAAATACAAACCACCTCGTTTTAAAACGTCTCCCAAACCTTCAGTCCTTAAGGAAAAGCTTGCCTGAAGAGAAAGGTCCTTCCCTGCTCGTGGAAGGAAAGCCAAGATGGGGCCAGGCTGGCCTCCTGTGGGAGAGAGTTCCAGAGTCTCTGGGAGCAGCAGTTTGGCTTGTGGGAGAGAGTTCCAGAGTCTCTGGGAGCAGCAATTTGGATGTCTGGCAGGATAACTGAGTTCTGGTGCCATCACTGGTTTGGAAAATGGGTACTGTCTTAGCCACTCCATGGCAGTGGCGTCCATAGCTTTGGCCATGGAGTCTTGCAGTGGAGTGTGGCTGCCGTGTGAAATCGGACATCCAGGCGAGCTTGTCCAACAATATCTGAGTTCCAGAGTCTCTGGGAGCAGCAATTTGGATGTCTGGCAGGATAACTGAGTTCTGGTGCCATCACTGGTTTGGAAAATGGGTACTGTCTTAGCCACTCCATGGCAGTGGCGTCCATAGCTTTGGCCATGGAGTCTTGCAGTGGAGTGTGGCTGCCGTGTGAAATCGGACATCCAGGCGAGCTTGTCCAACAATATCTGTCAGCAGGAAATGAGTCCAGTTGCTCCTGTTTTCAGTGCGTTAGAGGAGGTCATGGGTCTTTTCACTTCCAAGAACTCCAAAACTACACCAGAAGTGTCAAGCTTGGCCAGAGATGTATGGCTTGTTCAAAGTCAGGTCCCTCGTACAAGTTGCCTTTCTCTGCTAGACATTTTCAAAGACCTTAAAAGAATCGATCCAATTGCGCCCGCCCACCACCATTTTTGCCTGAGAATTCACTATTGTTGTACACTCTGTATTGTGCAAATTTCTTTGGACTCTCCTGCCAGTTTGCTAACCCTTAGGAAAGACAGCGTTGACTATGGTGTCGAGAGCCTCCAAACCTTTTAATTTTTCGGTGTTTATGGAAGAATTTTTCTGTTTAAAAATGTATGCGCCCACATGCCTCTACACAGGGTCCAGCTTTTCAGTCTAGGTAAGAATATCACAAGAGAGGACCCCCCCCCAATACAGCAGGATTCGATCTCTGCCCTGCCTCCCATTTGGACAAACAGACACTCACCAGGTCTGGCATCCTGCAAATCAGGCTCTCCTCCTGCACGCACAGGCCTGCCATTTCATCCAGCTGCTTGCGATGGATTTGGAGTACAAACTGCCTATTGGACACCATTTTTTAAAAACACCAAATAAAAAGAACATGGTTAATAAAAGTCCTCAGCCCTACTCACTGTTGCTCATTGGCAGCTCTCACATCTGGGATTTGGGAACAAACCCAGGGCCCAAATTTCTGTGGCTACCCTGATGTAAAATTTCCAGGCACAGTTGGGAAACAGTATGTAGAAGGTGAGCAGCCCAATTGTTTCACCCACATTGTAATGACAGTCATTCCCTACAGAGGCCTGTGCTTCCCAAAAAGAGCTTGTGTTAATCTACAAACTGGTCCTTTTCTCCCTTCTCCTGTATGTGGAAGGCTCGGGGTCAGAGAGGAGAGATCACTTGATGCTGCTCTGTGGAAGGAAGGGTTTACCCTTTGGAGCTGAGGCTCCAATACTCTGGCCACATCATGAGAAGAGAAGACTCCCTGGAAAAGCCCCTGATGTTGGGAAAGTGTGAAGGCAAGAGGAGAAGGGGACGACAGAGGACGAGATGGATGGACAGGGTCACTGAAGCCACTGACATGAATTTGACCCAACTCCGGAAGGCCGTGGAAGACAGGAGGGCCTGGCGTGCTCTGGTCCATGGGGTCACGAAGAGTCGGACACGACTTAACGACTAAACAACAAGAAAACTCTTTGCTTTAAATGTCACTGTACTTGGTGTGGAAGTAGCAGTGCCAGACCAAGGGGCAGGAAGAGCCCTCTGTGGTGCTTCCTGCCCCTTTGTCTGGCACGGCTATATGGCTCTTCCTAGGCTGTTTCGAAAGCCCTGGTCCCATGATACTCTTCCCCCCCATACACACACACACACTGAAGCATAAAAAATCAGGAGTGGGAGTTCCCGGAAAAAATGCTGTTTCTGGAAAGCTCCAGGAGCAGCCATTAACCTTAATAGACTGGAGCATTTTAACATGGGGAAGAGCCACAGCACAAAACCAGAAGTGGATTTCTAGCCTTTTCTGGTTTCACTCCCCTGGCCTCTGTTTTTAGTGCTCCACCCCGCCCCGAAGTGGCTGAACACCGGCCCCACCAAAGTTGCCCCGATGGCAGCGTCTTGGCCGTCCTTCTCCATTTCCCCTCGGCTGCCAGCTGCTGCAAGAGACCACACTGTGCTTTACAAACTGGGCTGGGCTCGGAGAGGAGCAGAGGATGCAGGCAACTCACCTCCCCAGAGCTTCCTTATATGCATGGGAACTTCCAGGTAAATAAAGTTGGCAGCATCCGTTCGGCGAGTTCTTGGGAATCCTGGCGCTTCGCCCCTTGGCGATCCCCTCCGAATTCTGTTCTGCAGGATCCGGAGGGTGGGCAAACATCATCTTAGTGGGTTTATCCTTAAGGAGACCCATTTCTTCACTGCTGAATACCAACTGGAATGCTTCTCGTGGCTGGCCCACCTCCAGGGTCCCAAATGCCAAGCCGGTCTGCAATGAAAGGCTGTCTGGAGAGGATTCTTCATTTCCTGAAGGGTGGAGGAGAGAAGCGTCATTTGAAAGGAAAGATTTCCCCACGACGTCAAGATACTGGAGCGGCACCATGGCCTTGGGGCCATCTTCTTCCCCTAAGCTGGAGTGCCGAGAAGAGTTCAGTGAGGCCACCACGGCCGCTTCAGCGTCAGCATCATACTGGGGACTAGACACATATTTGCCGAGGAACAACGTGCCCTCCTTCTCTGTGCACAGGGACAAGAGATTTGCCAGCCCCGCGTCTCCAGCAGAGGACCCACAAACGCAACCACCGTGCTCACTTAAGGCTGATTCAGCTCCTAAGGCAGAAGAAACTTTTGGGAAATGAGAATATTCTGAAAGCCACTTGGTCACGGCTTCTGGAGAAAGCACCTGGCCAGATGTTCTCCTCCAGTGACCGATTCTGCACGCGCTGGACGTAGGGGAGGATTTGCTTCCAGGGAAGGGGTTGGTATCCTCATCCCATCCTTTCCTGGGGTAAAAAGGCTTCTTTGCCTGGATGGTCTCTTCCTCTTCCAGCCGAGCCTGCCCTTGCCATCGCTGGGCCTGGTCTTCCTCTGGAGGGTCTGTCATGCCCGCGTTGAGGAGGGACACTGACAAAGGAGGACTCATCTCCACAGCAGAAAAGCTGCCCACGGCGACATTCGGAGCGGCACCAAGATCTGTTCCCTTTTGGGGGCATATCTTTCTGGCGGTCCCTGGAGGGTGGTGGCCTTGCAGAGATCCTTCTGTCGGCCCGTCAGCAACGCAGCGGGTGGATCCCAGTTTGTGGGCAAACGGTGGGCTTTGCGTTGCCTCTTCTGGCCCAGGGAAGGGCTGTTCATCGGAGCAGCTTAGAGCTCGTTCTGTACCTGCAGGTGGTTTTGGTCCGGCGAGTGCTTCTTTGGTGCTTTCCTCGTTGCGTGAGCAATAAGGCTTCTCTGGCGAGCTCGTTCTGTACCTGCAGGTGGTTTTGGCCCGGCGAGTGCTTCTTTGGTGCTTTGGTCGTTGCGTGCCACATTACTGCGTTGTGAGCAATAAGGCTTCTCTGGCATGTCGTTCTTTGGAGAGGAAGGAACTGTGGTCACGTCCTCTGCGTTCCACTCAGATGGACCCCGACTGTCCTCCTGGGAGGCGGCAGCCTCTTCCACCCTCGACGAGGCTGCCTCCTGATTCTCAAGGTCACACGGCTTGGCGAACAGCTCTTGCCCACCCTGGACCTCCCAGCGTTCATCTCTGTACTCTCCCTGATGGAGGAAGAACGAGCCCCGGTCGCCTTCCCTGTGGGCTTCTGCCTCTGCCTCCCCCTGGCTGGGCCCAAGAGAGAAGGAGTCCTCGCTGAAGTCACTGTCGTCCAGCTCCTCCAGCTGCATCGTCTCGTCTCTGTACGGAGGGGACCCCGAGCCTTGGTAGGGGGGATCTTCTTTCACCCGAATCTCTTGCGGCTTGTACCGGGCTAAGAGCTTTTCCAGAGGTTGGTAGTTCAACTTCTGCTGCAGGATAGGGGGCTGCTGAAATTGCTGGTGATAAAGGCGAAGGTGCTGCTCCCTCTCTTTCTGGTGGAGTGGGAGGCCGGTCCAGGCCGCCATGCACTGCTCTGCAAACAGGCTCCCAGCATGCTCCGGGTGGGCCGCGGGGCGAGCAGCGTCCCCAAAGGAAAAATCAGCTCTGTAAACCACTCGCTTCTGCACCGGTTGCACTTTCAGACCCTTGACCGGCGGCCTCTCTCCTTGGCCGCCTTCCCTCTTGGCCCCCAAGTCCTTCCTGGCGCGGTTGTGGGCCGAAGCCCCCACCGGGCCATCGGTGGCCTTCTTGGCCGGCCCCCCTGCTCTCAGGATTCCCTTCACCGGACTGCTCCGTCCCACCCATGGAGCACCGAGGGGTCCTTTGCAGGCGAGTCCTTTGGGGGTGGAAGAGAACGTGGGCGGAAGTGGGCGGAAGAGCAGAGGGGAGGCCTTCAGCCTCGAGGAAGCGGAAGGTCCCGTCGGATGCTGAAGCCCCAGCTTTACTTTCTTAGGGGAGCTTTTTTCCCCAGCCTGGACTGACGGAGAACTCTGGATACGTTTCGGAGAAATATTCCCCGTCGGCCGCCGCCTGCTCACTACAGGGGTGCAACATTTCATCCCTCTCTTCAACTCTTTGACCCTGAAAAGGAAAAAACTGGGTGTGATTTCTGTCTTCATTGATTTCTTTATTTTAGAGCTATCTAAGGTGCCTGTGTAGCTTACATGGCAGGAATAAGAGATAAAATGCAAGTACGGTGGGCTTACGTAGCAGGAACAGGTAATAAAATGCAATCAAAGATACAACTGCACTTAATTTCAAAATAGGTTACGCCTAATTCATATATCATTTAAATCAAGTTAGCACTACATTGATACCAATCTGAATAGTTCACAAAGTACTAGCTAAAAACAGTATTTAACGTTTGCTGAAAGTATTAAGCAAATACCAAATACTAAGCACTAGGCAGTTACATGCTTTTAGATGGTGTCCATCTTTGTTGTCACCCACCTATGATGGCAACCTTATGAATTAGCGACATTCTAAAGGCCCGGTCATTAAAAGTGCTGTCTCAAGTCTTTCAAACTCCAGACTGGGCCACCCTTGATGGCATCGACTCATCTCCTGTTGGATTTCTCCTGTCGTCGTCTACTTTTTCCGGCATTACTGGCTTTTTCAGTGAGTCTTGTCCTATCGTGATGTGCCGAAGTAGGACAGCCTCGTTTTTGTCCTTTGAGCTTCTAGAGGGAAGCCAGGCTTAATGTGATCTAGCATCCACCGGTTTGTCTTTCTGACCGTTTCAAATTTTTCACTGTCCCCATTAAAGCTATTTTGTGGTCGTTATTTTTGTCTTCTAAATGTTCAACTACAGTCCTGCTTTCGCATTTACTGTACTTTGTGCACGTTCATTAGAGCAAGAGTTGTTTCAAGTCACTGTTGTTTTCTGGCTGTAGTATTGTGTCAACTGCACAGCTTAAATAATTGCTATTTCTTCCATCCATGTTCCCTCCTCCATCTGAATCTAATATAGCGTTCTGCTTTGCATGCCAGTTCAACAGATAGTGAGACAAAATGTCTATCTGATATTTTTGCCTATGGGAAACCACTGTTTCTCCATATTCTATTCTAACACTAGCTTCTTGTCCACAGTATAAGTTACGTATTAGCGCAATGAACTATTTAAGTACAGTATATCCATTTCTTTTGAAACAGACCTTAGCTTTTTTAATCTACATAGTCAAAAGGCTATGTTATAATTTATAAAGTATATACTGATCTTCTTCTGAAATCCTTTGGTACACTGCAGGAACCAATGTAATTCTATTCTAACACTAGCTTCTTGTCCACAGTATAAGTTACGTATTAGCGCAATGAACTATTTAAGTACAGTATATCCATTTCTTTTGAAACAGACCTTAGCTTTTTTAATCTACATAGTCAAAAGGCTATGTTATAATTTATAAAGTACAGACTGATCTTCTTCTGAAATTCTTTGGTACACTGCAGGAACCAATGTATACAGTATTTGCAATGTGATCTTTAGTGCTTCTTCCTTTTCAAAATAGAGCTTGAATATTTGGAATTTCTTATTCTATATGTGGTAAAAGCCTTTGTTGCAACATTTTGAGCTTCAATTTGCTTGCATAGGAAATTAATGCTATGATCCTATAGCATAGCTGGGGAAAAAAAACCAAAGTGAAGGATTTCTGAGGAGACAGTATTTACACCATCAAAAAACTACTTTCACTCAAAATGTCTTTGTTTTTATATATACTGCTTTTTGAAGGTTGACTTAACCAGATCTTTCTGGCTAGAAATACACACTCCACTAGTTATTTTAATCCACCGGCTAAAGATAGATTCCAGCAAATCAAACACGTCTGAAGTCTCAAAGCACTGTTTGAACTGATTTTTGTTCATGTTTCTGGGGAGCAACCCAACGATACAGAAATCTTCTTCACTGTGCAGCCTCTGGTCATTTCAGGACAGTTGAATCTTCTTTCCAAAGAGCAAGAGCCCATTCTTTGAACACGGGGCAGGGGGCTCGGCCCTTTTGGAAGGAAGATCTCAGTCACCTGGTGCCACTCCTCTGGGATCGAATCTCAAGCTTTCACTTGGTTGGAAAGGGAGAGCACAACAAGGAAAAGTTACTTTTTTGGAGTCTAGTATGCCAAATCCCTCTACCAGCATGTACAAGAGGACCCTCTCATCTGCGGGATCAGTACTCACAAATTCACTTATCTGCTGCCTGAAAATGCTACATAAAAACAAGCCAACCCAAATACATACCTACAGTATATGTATTTCCAGGGGGTATTTACCAGAACTGGCCACTAGAGGGAGACAGAAAAACCTGCTCTATATCATGTTCGCTACTTCCATGTTTTTCGGCGTCCGAGGGGGGGGGACTGGGAACTGATCCTCCACGGATACTTTGGACCTACTGTATTTCAAAGAAGTAACTTCTTGCTAGGCAGCAGATGAGTAGCTGGGGAAGTTACATGGGCACCATACCACCACCACCACCCCCAGCATGGAGCTGTCCTCAGTCCAGACCCAAGCTCAGTTCAGCTGCTTACCTGTCGGCATATCGCAAGGTGTTTAAGGTGTGCTCGGTCGCAACATGGCTGGGCGAGATGTTAGCGATCATGCACGTCTTGGAATTTCCAATGAAGGAATCTTTTAGGACCTTGAATTGGAAGAAGAGAAAAAAAAGCAGAGTGTTGGCTCTTTGGCATGAAAAGGGGTTTTCACCTGGGGATTTTTCAGGGAAGCAAATTACAGAGAAAAGCTGAAATTTTCAATAACTGATTTTCATATCAAATTCAAACTTACTTTCCTGCTTAAGTAACCTAAAAATGTTCATAAAGTGGTTGGCACATAAGAGTATTTAGGCAGATTCTTGACTTTAAATAGCAAATAAAATAAAAGCTCTAATATTGTAAAAGGCAAATAGTGAATGTAGCTGTCACGATTCCCACGTGGCCCCTGCTTGTTTCACCAAACTAAGAGCTCATGTTACGTGTCTTTCAGCTGCCACCAGTCGATTACATCAACATTGTTTAATATTAATAATAGAGATCCAGGCCATGGGTCATTTTAAAAAGAACCAAATAGAAATTGTTTAATGATAAAGGTACAATCAATGTCATTAACTCTTAACAGAACATCCGACTTCATCCACTCTCAAACACTGCTCTCTCCTACCAAGACTCCAAAACCTCTGGACTCTCTCAAAACTCTTCAACTCTTCAACTCAATCTCTCTCCCTAAAAACTCTCCTTCCTCCTGCTGACTTTAAATAGCAAATAAAATAAAAGCTCTAATATTGTAAAAGGCAAATAGTGAATGTAGCTGTCACGATTCCCACGTGGCCCCTGCTTGTTTCACCAAACTAAGAGCTCATGTTACGTGTCTTTCAGCTGCCACCAGTCGATTACATCAACATTGTTTAATATTAATAATAGAGATCCAGGCCATGGGTCATTTTAAAAAGAACCAAATAGAAATTGTTTAATGATAAAGGTACAATCAATGTCATTAACTCTTAACAGAACATCCGACTTCATCCACTCTCAAACACTGCTCTCTCCTACCCAGACTCCAAAACCTCTCAACTCTCTCAAAACTCTTCAACTCAATCTCTTTCCCTAAAAACTCCCCTTCCTCCTGTTGAGTCTCTTATATATCGTGACTCCGCCCCTCCAGCCCTCCCATTGGTCCATGCAGCTATTACATTAATATTTATGACCTGGGCAGGCACCCTATACTAAAAAAGAAGAAAAAGGAGCTGGAAATTTGTGCACGCTAGGCTATATAAGTGGATGCATCTTTATTTTTGCCAGCTGAGGGGCAAGTAAATAATCAGAAAGAAACGATGCATTCTGAAGGAATGAAACAAAAGTCTTGCTTCTACTGTGCTTGTACCCACGAAACTATAATAAAGGTCACCCAAAGAAATTTAGCAATAACCTGGAAGCCATGGCAGCATGCATGCATTCAGAAATCCACCTTGGATTTGGTGTACGTCCAACAGTATGCAAGGAAATTAGCATTCTCTTCTACTGTAGACTTTCTTACGTGCAAATATTCGTATAAAGCAGTTCCTAGCATTTGAGTAAAACTGTATTTTACAATCTATTCTGCTCTTTCAAGAAAAAAAAAAGACAAAATATTCTTGTTTTTTTCTACATTCTCTAGCATTTCCAATTTTTCTCCTGAAAAAAAAAATTGAAAATTCATCCTAGGGGGCCCCCCCCCCCCGATTTTCTTGTTTTTTTCCTTGACCCGGGCCTTCAGAGCTCTCAGATAATTTGACTGTGGGATCTCCACTTTGTTGCAGAAGACCTGATTGAGCCAAGGACAGAGGAGGTCACCAAGGGCAAGGAAGCAGCCGGGGGCACAGCAGAGCGAATCGAGCAAGCGAGCGCACCCCCCTGAGTGGCCGTGGAAAGAACAGAAGAAGTTGAGGGAGGGGGCCACAGACGGAAGCCTTCGGGGGGGCAGACTGCACCCCTTCTCTCGCTCTCTTCCCCCTTAAAGGGAACCTTGGTTGACCTTAAGGGAGAGAAGCAGCGTTTCCGCAGAGCCAGGTTCCAGGCGTGAGTGGTGGGGACGGACCGAGCGTCCCCTGCCCGAGAGAGAACACACACTTGCGCGCTCACGCGTTGCAGGGCAAGGCAGCCATGCCGGGGCCACCCACGGTCCCCCAAGGGCACCCTCTCGGTGGGCCTCCCTGTAGCTGCCTCTAGGGTGGTGTCGCTGGAGAAGAGTCCCCCTAGGGGTGCTGCTTGTCGAGGCAGGGCTCCCCAACGCCGGTCCCACTGCCGCCGCCGCTGGAGAAGAGTCCCCCTAGGGGTGCTGCTTGTCGAGGCAGGGCTCCCCAACGCCGGTCCCGCCACCGCCGCCGGGGTCGAGGGCTTGGCCTCTAGGAGCCTCTGTGGCGCACGGCCAGGAGGGGCTCACGTATGGCCAGAACATGGCCCGCCTCTCCAGGAACAGCGTGCTCAGCCCCTTGAAGGCTCAGCCCAGGCTTAGAATCAACGATGGTACATATTTAAGTGATTACTATATTTGCATATTACCACTCTTCCAAAGAGCTCAATCGGGCCTATGTGGTCCTCTTTATCCAGACAACAACCCTGTGAGGAAGACTGAGGCTAGAAACGGGCTTGGCCCTTCTAGAGTTCATCACTAAAACTCCATCCCAGTCTAGCCTTTGCCAGGAAACAATAACTGCCCCCCCCCAAAGACGGACGGAACGTAAGCAGTCGCCAAATGCCAACTCCCCAACCGTATGGCAGTGATGGAGGAAAGCCTAGGACGATTTCCCTCTCCCTTGCAGCCATCGGTTCCACCAGGCACCCCTCCGCCACCACGAGAACGGTGGCCGTTCTTTCAAGCAGCCTTTGGGGACCATAAAAAGATGCCTTGGCATTAGCCCTGGGGCTTACCTGAGTCAGCTTGCTCTGCCTGAAGGGCGTGTGAGCGTGGTCCTGATCCAGGGCACGGATGCACTCTTTTAGCTAGAAAGGGACAGACAGACAGACAGACAGTCCTCAGTACAGCAAAGAGCCGGTTTCCCCCAAGGCCATGCTGGGCTCCAGAGCAGAGGCTGCCTCTCTCTCCCTGGGCTCTGTTCAAACGTACCTGGCCTGGGCTTGGAATAGAAAGGGCCAACCCTTGTATTACCGGTTGGCGCTTGCCATCCTGTGGCAACTCTCGGGGTTGTTATCCAAACATTCTGGCTTTTGTGAAAGTCCCAGGAACCCCGTCAGCCAGATTCCATTCTCTCCTTGGATCGAGTTGCTTCCCAAAACTAGGGCAAGAGTGAAGGATCGTATCGCCTTGTATGAGCCTTCCTGGCTGCTGTGATCACCAGAGGTGGATTTCTCTCGACCCCGTTGCCCTTGCAGGCACGTTTGACAGGGACACCGGGGGGGGGACGGGCTCCTCGGTGGCTGCTCCCAGATTGCAGAAGGCTCCCCCTGGGAAAGTTAGGTTGCCCCCCCCATTTTTTTTTTTTTTTTAATCCTGGAGGCAACAGTGAAGAAGCTGCCTCTTTGGGCAGGCTTTTAATCACTGAGACTGAGTCCCGCTTGGATTCTGGGCGTAGGCTCTTTTTCAGCAGGCTTCGTAGTTTTAATGTTTAGATAATCTTGCAAGTAATATTGTATGTTTGATTCTTTTTTAACTTTGTAGTTTATTGTGGCTTTAGCCTAACTTGTTTTAATCATTGCAAATAGCCTTGGGTCCCCTTCCTAGGGGGAAATGAAACAAGTAAAATAATAAAATAATGAACGAGAGAGCAGGCTGTATGTGCCACTTTTTCTTTGTTGAGGTGGAAAAGCTTGGTAGCCAGATGGGAGGTATAAAAATCAAACAAACAAGTCTGTCAGTAGCGTTTGAGAATCCTTATCCTTTACATGGGAAGAGAGGAAGCTACATTCTACTTTTAAATGCATCAACGAAATCTAGACCCCACTTTTCTCATTAAGGACAAATTAATCCAGGCTTTTGGTCATTTTAGCCCAGTCCTGTCTCTGCCATCTCAGCAGGCAGAAGTCTCTCTCCTCCGCCTGCGTCTTCTCCCCATCACTCCCTGCGGCTTCAAGGGCCTTCTTTTGTCCACCGTTTTCTTGGCACTTCTGGCTATATTCTGATTTGTCCCCTAAGCCCAGCAAAAGAACTAAGACGACTTGGCTCACAGATGACCTTCCGAAGCCAACTGAGAATGGGAATAACGTTTTCAGCCCTCTGGGTTGGAGAAGGAGAAGGAGAGAGAGAGAGAGAATGGAAGTACTGTGTCCAGCAGGAGGAGCAAGAATCAGGACTGATTTGTGACAAAGGTGATAAACAGTCTGTGGATTTCCAGTGGAAAAACCCAGTGGCAGGGGGGCTGTTTGCAGCCTGCAATCAAGATACAAGGTTAGGGTGTGAACATGCTTTTGTTTAAGCATTAGAGTCCTGGAATCTGGACTTGCTGCCATATTATACAAAGCACAGGCTGCCTTCTGCAGCATTTCCACCCTAGAGACAAAACTCTACTTGCTGAGGAACCCCCCTCTTTTTTTTAAGATCAACAACACCAAGATGCTTATTCTGGGACAGACAACAGGTTCAACCAGCACAAGGCTGCCTTTGCTGATGGAGACAGAAGCCCTTCCCAGTCCAACAAGGACTGAATAGGTGGGACTCTTTATATACGGAGGATAAGCTCTACTGCCGAGCAGTTTTTCAAATGATCCCCCAAAAATGTGCTTTCTACCAACTTACGGCTAGCAGACTTTGGTTTATTTCAGCTCCTTCCATTTTCGTCTGTCTGTCAGAGTCTCTGGCATCAGCTGCTCTCTCGCTGCCGGCCAGATCAATGAAGGAGATCCTGGAAAGACAGCAGTCATCTTTTTAGTATTTCTCTGGCATTTCCTGCAGTGTGTCTAAAGTGGAGGCTAGCCCTGTCAGGTATGTTAGGCTCAGAGACGGCCGTTTGCGGAAAGCCATAAGTCTGCTCTTGGAGCCCAGCATTTATTTAAAATATTTCTGCACTCAGAATTTCCAGGGTGACCTATAGTAATAAACGAAATATAACAAAAGACGGCACCTAGACAGTGCAGAAGCCCAAACGCAACACAAGCAAAGGACACAGCAGAAGTTAGAAGCCAGGAAAAGGAAAAAAAAGGCCTTGGTTCAACTCCTAGTCACAGGCAAAAAGCAAATCAAAGTTTGCTGCTCTGTAGCATTTAAAGCAGTCTCTGGATGATTTACAAGTTAATTATGTAGGCTACACTCGCCTACCAACCCTGTGGTGAGCTGGATACTCATTTTACTGACTTCAGAAGAATGGAAGGTTGAATCAACCTTGATCCAGCGACCTGAGTTTGTCAAGATAAAAACTCAGATCATGAACAGAGTCTTGGCTGCAGTACTGCAGTTTAACTACTGTAACCACCAGGCTCCTCTGTACAGTGGACCTTCGACTTTTAGACGGCTCGACTTACAGACTTTTTGAGTTACAGACTTCTCTGGCCGCAAAATTTAGGTTCGACTTGCAGCCGGAGAATCGACCTACAGACCAGAAAAAAAAACAAAATGTAACAAAAACGGAACAAAAATGGCAGGTTACAGATTAATCAGTTTCAATGCATTGTAGGTCAATGGAGACTCGACCTACAGACTTTTCGACCTGCAGCCACCGTTCCAATACAGATTAATTCCGTAAGTAGAGGGTCCACTGTACATGCTCTGTTTCTATGCTTCCTCCAATTGCACATAGCAATGACGTAGCCCAGTGAGGATCAGCTACTTTGCCCTAAGTGTCCAGCGCTCAACAGCTCACCTCCCAAACACTCTGTTTGCTGAGTCTTTAACCTGAATCTGGATAATGGCATGGGACCGGGAGGAATCAGAGTTAACTCCAGTTGCCCCAGTGCTGCGCTCCTTCCCTCCTTTCAGAATCACCTGGTGGAGTGGGGGATGAGAGAAACAAAGGAAGTCCATTTTTAACACATATTCAGATTACTTAGAACCTCAAGCACTGTGCGAAGTCTCAGCGAATTCTGTGATTCCAAATACACAAAAGGGACCCGGTCAGTGTGATGTGGTCCTTCTTCCTGGTTCAAACACAGAACGCCCCCAACAAGGCTCCCCAGACTGGAACTGCCTCCAGAAGAGATCAGAGTGTCAGAATTGGAAGGCGCCTAGTCATAATCTCGTCCAATTCAAGCTGTTTAAGCAGCACCACAGAATGAAGAATAGGTAGGGGCTTTACAAAAAGGACACAAGCGAATCATGGCGACAACCGGACCCCTGGCAGCCACAGGCATCTGGGAGAAGAGGCCTCTGAGCCCAAGTTTTACAAGCCAGCCTGATCAATTTCTGTCCAAGCTCCAGGAAGCAGATCAGCCAGATGCTGAACGCAGGCCAGGGTGTTTCAACAAGAAACACAAAACAAAACAAAGGGGCGGGGAGTTTGGGCACCTTAAAGACGAACGGCGATATTTTAATGTCAGTTTTCATGGACCATAGTCCACTCCTTCAGACATATGAGTCAGCATACAGAGATTACAGTATGGTAAAAAAAATTCATGCAAGGCTCTAAGATAAAGGGAAGGATAATTTGCGCTCAGCACCATGCCTTGAGTTGCAGCCGTTCTCCTTGTCCCAGATCAGTCAAACAAGCAAACCACTTCAGGCATTCAGTGGAAGGCAAACGGTGTGTTATCAAATGGCAGATAACCTTTGTTTTGAAAGTTTCCCCATCATTATCATCATCGCCATTATCATTCAAGACAAAATGTTGCCATTAAACTAAGAGGTCAGTCTTGGAGCCTGGCCGCCTCTTGACCCAATCCAAGTCCTTTCATGGGTTTTGAAAGTTTCCCCATCATTATCATCATTGCCATCATCATTCAAGACAAAATGTTGCCATAAAACTAAGATGTCAGTCTTGGAGCCTGGCCGCCTCTCGACCCAATCCAAGTCCTTTCATGGGGCTCAATGATCATGTCTTGGACTGCCTATAAAACTCTTTCAAAACATACCCCGGGGGGGGGGGGCCAAACCTTCAGGGGTTTTTTTTTTTGGTTTTGGTTTTTTGCAAAACAAAGTGTCTTTTGCTAAAGCTGCACACGAGCTATTTCCCACCAACTTCCCACTCCCCTAATTTGTGTTCTAATGACACCCATGGTTTTAGTGAGCTAGAATACAATGAGGCACACAAGTAGCTTAGAATTATATAAAATGCCAGTTTGCATGCCCTTCTCCCAGCAGTGGAGACAACTGTGTGTGTGTGTGGGGGGGAGGGAATGAGAGAGCGAGAGCGAGAACAACGTCTGAAACAACTCCGGGAGGTCTGGAGGGAAAAAACAAGAAACCGGGCCTTCTCAGTGGTAGCTCCTCGCCTCTGGAATAATCTTCTTCCAGAGATCCATGTGGCCCCTTCACTGAGCACCTTTAAAAACCAAGTGAAAACTTGGATGTTTAGGCAGGACTTCCTCTTAGCTATTATTTGATTTATTTATTTTTTCCTATTTCTTTCCATCTTGAATAACTCTATTACTGATGTTTAAAGGTTGTTATATTTTCTTATTATATGTGTTGGAAGTCGCCCAGAGTAATCAGTTGACTAGATGGGTGGGGTATAAATGCAATAAATAAATAAAACAAGCTCCTGTCCATTAGAGTTCCCGGTCAACAAACCTAGGAGTCACAGCCAGGGTAGAGACCTCGGCGGTTACACTTCGTTGTAACCGGGGGGGGGGGGGAAACAAACCTTCAGAGTTTTTTTTTGTTTTTTTGCAAAACAAAGTGTCTTTTGCTAAAGCTGCACACGAGCTATTTCCCACCAACTTCCCACTCCCCTAATTTGTGTTCTAATGACACCCATGGTTTTAGTGAGCTAGAATACAATGAGGCACACAAGTAGCTTAGAATTATATAAAATGCCAGTTTGCATGCCCTTCTCCCAGCAGTGGATACAACTCTGTGTGTGTGTGTGGGGGGGGAGGGAATGAGAGAGCGAGAACAAAGTCTGAACCAACTCCGGGAGGTCTGGAGGGAAAAAACAAGAAACCAGGCCTTCTCGGTGGTAGCTCCTCGCCTCTGGAATAATCTTCTTCCAGAGATCCATGTGGCCCCTTCACTGAGCACCTTTAAAAACCAAGTGAAAACTTGGATGTTTAGGCAGGACTTCCTCTTAGCTACTATTTGATTTATTTATTTTTTCCTATTTCTTTCCATCTTGAATAACTCTATTACTGATGTTTAAAGGTTGTTATATTTTCTTATTATATGTGTTGGAAGCTGCCCAGAGTAATCAGTTGACTAGATGGGTGGGGTATAAATGCAATAAATAAATAAATAAAACAAGCTCCTGTCCATTAGAGTTCCCGGCCAACAAACTTAGGAGTCACAGCTAGGGTAGAGACCTCGGAGGTTACACTTCGTTGTAGTCCACTATAGTTGACAAAGTAATAATAATATAATTTATTGTCATTGTAAGTATATACACAGTATATCATACAACGAAATTCACAAAAGTGCTCTGTAGATCCACTTCCTCTTAGCTACTATTTGATTTATTTATTTTTTCCTATTTCTTTCCATCTTGAATAACTCTATTACTGATGTTTAAAGGTTGTTATATTTTCTTATTATATGTGTTGGAAGTCGCCCAGAGTAATCAGTTGACTAGATGGGTGGGGTATAAATGCAATAAATAAATAAAACAAGCTCCTGTCCATTAGAGTTCCCGGTCAACAAACCTAGGAGTCACAGCCAGGGTAGAGACCTCGGCGGTTACACTTCGTTGTAACCCACTATAGTTGACAAAGTGCTCTGCAGATCTCGTCGGACTCTCTTTGATCACACACCCTTGTTGCATCTTTGCCAAGGAGAGAAACGGAGGCCTTTCTACCCTTCTCAGCGCAGCCAGGGTGATGCAAGGGGCAGAGGAATTGATTAAGTGGACTCCAGAGATCTCAGTTCAAGTCTCTATACCGCTATAGAAACTCACAAGGCGAGATTGCAGTGGTAAACACTCCACCCATAGCTCACACACCGTGGAAAGCCTATCAAGGTCTCCATGTGCTCATTGTCTCATTCTTGTGTTAGAAATAAGAAATACCATGAGCCTTGAATACAATTCAGTATTGTGTTCAAGACTGCTTAAATGACAAGGGATTTAGCATGTTGTCAACCTATGGCAACCTTGAGAGGGTTTTTGAGCTACATGAGATGTTCACGCAGTAAGTGGTTTGCCCTGGTCACATCCAGTGAGTTCCCATGCCTGGCAGGAATCTGAACCCAGGTTTCTTGAGCCCCGCCCTGACACACGACCCACTGCAACACGCTGGCTCTCATATTTCAGATTCTGCTGCCGCCTAATGGTTAGATACTGCCTAGTCTTTCCATTTCAGTTTTGGTTATGCTGTGGGCAGCACTTCCGTTTCACTGGACCAGCTAGGATTGTGCAGCCTTGTCCCCTTCTTCCTTCCCCCTCCCCACAGATCAGGTGGAAGGGAGGGTGGCAGGAGAGTGGAAGGGACGGAAGGCGAAAGGACTGCAGGCAATGCTTGCATGGACTCAAGGCTCCATGAGATAAAAAGGAAGTTCCAGGTGTTCAAAATTACCTCTAGAAGGAGACCGACGCTGTTGACTTGAATCTCGCGCAGTCCGACGATCTGCACAACATGCTTACTGTCTTCCCTTGCAAAGAGCCTGTCAAAAAAGCCCACACAGATGAGCAGAGAAAGTGCTTTTGAAAAGAGGTTCCATAAATCCCTATTTTAAAAATATTTTTTTAAACTTAACCATCCAAAACACACATTGGTCTACAAAACTATTTTTCCACAGAAGGCATTCTAAGCAGCTAACAATAAATATTCAATAGTGTAGTAATGATATCAATATAAAGCAATGACAGAAATATAACTGGTAAAATTACAAACAGTCAAACAGAAGCAGTTGTATGAATAGATATATAAAATGGTTATGGTAACATTTAACCAGAGTTAGGACATTAGGATCGTCGTATTCATGGGATCAGTATCCGTGGTTTCAGTTTTCTGCTGTCTGGAAATATTAAATTAAAAAGCTCAAGAAATTGTGTATTTCCATGGTGTATTATCAGAACTTGCCACTAGATGGAACCAGAGATTATGCACGCTCTCTCACTCTCTCCGATTTGCATATCTGCTCTTTTTGGCATCTGTTGGGAGACAAGGCTTAGAACCGATCCCCCCACAGATACTAAAGTCCTGTAGTAAAATAATCTCCACCTGAGTTCCATGTGATAACAGAATAGATAAGAAGCGGGTATTCTTGTGGTGTGTTCCACAATCAGGCTGCCACCAAAGGACTACCTTCAATAATCCACCCACAAGTCTATAAAAGGACCTGAAGCACAACTTGAGCTAATCTCAGTGAATGGATGAGTTCGCATGACCTAAGGATGGTCTAATCTGAACATCACTGAGTTGAACTCCTCCCAAAATGAGGTGTAAACCCAATTAAATTGATTAAAGCTGCTTCATGCCATGGTTATCATTTTGGGATCCATACTCACAGCTGGATATGCCAACACCTCCTATAGCTGCGAACATGTTTTATTTTTCGGGGGGGGGGGATCAGCCATTAAGCACAAGCTAATAATCTCCTTGTTGGTGCACAGAAAGAACCACCTGTCATCTAGACCAGTGGTTCTTAACCTTTGTAACTCGGATGCAACACCTCCTATAGCTGCGAACATGTTTTTTTTTCAGGGGGGGGGAATCAGCCATTAAGCACAAGCTAAGAATCTCCTTGTTGGTGCACAGAACCACCTGTCATCTAGATTGCCCTCTGACATGTAAGTCCTCATCCAGTCCACAACCAATGTTGGCCAAAACTCCTGAGTAACTCAAGGTTAAGAACCAATGATCTAGACTGCCCTCTGACATGTAAGACCTCATCCAGTCCACAACCAATGTTGAGAAAATCAGAAAGTTAGATTTCCTCCACAGACTGAAAAGCCTTGTTAACAGAAGCAACACAGAAATCCTTGATCCAGTGAAACATGCAAATACATGGACCTCTCCCATTACAACTTTAATGAGTAACTCAAGGTTAAGAACCAATGATCTAGACTGCCCTCTGACATGTAAGACCTCATCCAGTCCACAACCAATGTTGAGAAAATCAGAAAGTTAGATTTCCTCCACAGACTGAAAAGCCTTGTTAACAGAAGCAACACAGAAATCCTTGATCCAGTGAAACATGCAAATACATGGACCTCTCCCATTACAACTTTAAAAGGTAAAAATCCACAGAGGTCTGGACACTTCCCCACCCAACAGTTAAAAAGCTTTAGCTGCAAGGTCATCGGCTAAAATCCACAGAGGTCTGGACACTTCCCCACAGTCAAAAAGCCCTAGCTGCATGGTCATCAGCTGGGAACTGGGTTTATTGTTCTTCCCCAAGTCATCCACTTTATTCAAAAACAGTATTTCTTGCTGACATTTCCCAATGGGGCTTGTGCACTACATTCCATACTAGAGAATACAGGAGGAACAGACACGACTGGGTGTATCAGCCAGGACCGTCAGCAGTGAAATGAATTATGTTGATGTCCAAACTGTCAGCTGCGAATTGCACAGTTATTAGTCCAGAGGGAAAACTGAACATTCTCTGTCTGCTTGTCCCCCTCTAAAGTTCCTACAAACAGATGGACTCTGGCTCTTTGCTAGAAAGCAGCCTTTTCATCTGGCAAACGTCAACCCATGTCCTTCCTAGAGAAAAAGCTAACGCAACCGAGCCACACGTGAACAACATCCTTTCTTAAACTAAAGAATGGTCACACCTGGTATTTTTCAACATATTTATGTCTTGTCACAAAAGGCAGAAATAAGAGGTCGGCTTTTGAGAACTTTTACTGAATCAAATCCATCTTTAGTTAGTGTTGAGAGGAGAAGAGGCTTTTTCGGTCCAATCCCCTCCACATCAGCTGCAGCTGAGACAAAAATTGTCCTGACATAGCAGGTTGCATTTTGCCATTTGGGATTGTGGGGGTATATTTTGGTCCCAGGCCATGTAATGGATTGAGGCCAGAAAATGTCCCATGCCGCTTCGAGGCAAACCATGATGCTCAGAAGCACAACTGAGATGATGCGATTGTCCATTAAGTTGACTACATTCAGGGGGACACTGGAAATCTTAATTCAGGAAATTCAGTATATGCACATAAGGCTCTAATCTTGAACATACAGTAATATAGTGCATAACGTGGCCCTGCATAGCACGGATCCATTATAGCATCCATGCTTGGATGACCCTGTTGTGGTGCTTGACAGGGCCTGAGCTTAATAAAGGAGGTAGGCTAAGCCTCCAGGAGACTTGGGGACTGATCTGCCCACTTGAGCCTCCTCCAGGTAACAGGGGCCCTGGTAGACCCAATTCTGTGCTCCAGATACACCAGGCCTCCGGGAGAATCAAGACCCAACCTACCCACTTCACACCAGATGTAGACTTGGCCTCTAGAGAACTCCTGGCATAAGGGTAAATGGTAAAATGACCTCATTTAGCACTTATTCACTTAGCACTCCATTTCCTTGGCATGCATCCTGATGACTAAGCAGAGGTATTACTGTATCGGAATTCTCGCAAGTTCACAAAATACCCTCAGCATGTTTTTTATCCTGATGAATAAGGGCTAATTTGCTAAAAATAAATCCAGCCTATCATTCAAAGAAGCTTTTGTTCGGTTCAACTCCCTCTGATTTACAGGTCCTTTAAAAAAAAACTTGTGTTCTCAGATTTAAGTAGTACCTCTTCCTTCCATTTAGCAGGTCATAAAGCTGCCCACAGTAGATCTCGTAAAAGCTGATCCAGACGTGAAGGTCTTTCCCAGTCTGGGACGCTTCTAACTGCTTGAAGATATCTTTGGCCGCCAGGGCATACAGCCCCGGGTTTTGATGAGTGCCAATCATCGTGTAGGTCTTACCAGCCCCTGTCTGTCCATACGCGAAACAAGTGGCATTCTCCCTGTATGACGAAGCAAAAAGAAGTAACATGAGAAAGGAGACTCCACTTTCATAAAGCACCCTAAGATGAAAACACTGAAACGCATCAGTCTTGAAATTGCATAAGCAGTCAGAAAGTGGCCATCAAGGAGATTCCTTAAAGGATTCTTTCTTGCTTATATGAGCTACATGGAGGGCACCCCTTGGAGGCTGGATTGCAGAGGATGCAACCAAGTGGATAGAACACCGGTGGAGAAAAGAAGCAGGAAGCATCAATACAGAGAATCAGTATGATGTGTTGAGGTGTTACTCGCAAACTGGCAGGAGGAACAGGCGTTCCAATCCTCTCTGCTTCACTCAGTGCCAGCCAGCACCCCCCAACGGTATAGTTAAGCAGGGTGGCGGCGGTGTTCTTTCAAAAGCAAACCTTCTGGCATGAACCCCTTTACCCTCCTCTGGACGCTCGCTCCACCTCCTGCTCTTCTCCAAATCCATTTCCAGGCACTGTCTTTTCCACGCCAACCTTCCTGGACTTCTTAGCATGATGCTGTGAGAATCATTTCTTTTGTGGTTTGCCTATGGCATCGAGTCATTTCTCACTGACCAGGAGCTACGTTTTATTATGTTTTGGCTGCATCGGAGAAAGACTGTTTGTTTAAACAAATGGCAAAGCCAAGGATGGGCAGGGATTTCCTCAAAAGAGAAGTGATGGAATTGCAGAATGGCTGCCACCATTTAGAAATACAACTTCTGTGCACAACAACTCTCAGAATTCCCCCGTCAGAGATTCAGAAAGTGGGGCTTTTCTAGGCTATGGGCACAGCCAGTAGTACTCAGAAGAATTTTTTTCCCTTCAACACAGGAGATAGTCGCCCAACTATACGGAGCTGAAGCCATCCCCCCCCCATCGATTTATTACTGAAAGTACCAGTTCTAGATCCAGTCTTTTCTCAACTGTGATGTCAGTCTCAAGTCACTATCAGCTCACGATATCTTTAATAACCTATCTTCAGCGCCAAAGGAAAATGCAGCAAAGAAATCTTAAGTATATCCAGAGGCACAATTTACGTAGGCCAGAAGAATATTGCTCTAATCCCTGCTCAGTTTGGTAGGACTACTCTAGAGGAAAAAACCAGTGGGGAATAGCTTCAGCTGGAGTAGACTGAAGACACAGAAGGCTGGCGTTCCAGACAGATGTTATTTTGAATCAGCCTCTGAAGCCATACATGAACACAAGGGAGCGCTCTGTAGCCAACAGGAAAATGGCATTAAAATAAGAAACAAGAAATTATCGTGTAATGAACAGCAAGCAAATTGGGGCTCTCAGCACTAGCTCTCCAGCCCACAAAAGCATTTCAATTTCAATCACAGTAAAAAGAGTAGCAGCCATAGGCTGGGATCCTGTTTGCATCAAAGTGCTCCCATCAAGGGAAAAGCAAAAACGATTTGAGTTTTTCAGCTCCCATGGTAGCCAGTGACACCTCGCACAAGAAGAAGCCCTATTCAAGCACATTAACCATCTCAACTATGGCAGCCTGGGAGATGGCACGGAGCCCCATAGGCCCCTATATTCAACTGCATTCCAGCCCTGGTCATTCTCTCCTCCAACAGAACAAAGAATGCTATGAACTTCCTGTAGGGTGACACCACATGGTTTTACTCTTAAGATATTTTGAACTTAACAACCATGATAAATAACACTGTGTTTTTCTGTCCCAGTGTCATGTGAGGTTTGCTCATGCATTGTGGATTCCACTTTTGCCCACCTGTCTAGAGGGAAGCGCCTTGCCTCGCTCCCTTCCATTATCACTGTTTTCAAGTGATTGCAGATGGATGAGTCTGAAGAGAAGTTCCTGCTGGCCTGAAAACTTTCCATGTAAACAGGAATCTCTCCTCTTCAGACTTAGCAGTGACAGGGGAAGGGGAGACGAGCTGCTCCCCTCCAAGTGTACTGAGAAAACCAGATTCTGATACCCTGTTTCCCATAAAATAAGACCTAACCTGAAAATAAGCCCTAGTATGATTTTTCAGGATGCTCGTCATAGAAGCCCTACCCCCAAAAATAAGCCCCAGTTAAGTGAAACCCCGTCCTCCACCCTGGTGCAGCAACCAGAAGAGGACATGACCGCATTTGAATAAATGTAGATGGTTGTACATGAATAAAATAAAATATCCCCTGAAAATAAGCCCTAATGCGTTTTTAGGAGCCAAAATTAATATAGGAAACAGGGTACAAATGAGTAGGTCTCAATCATCTAATTAAAAAAAAAAACCTCATGGAAAAGCCAGCCACACATAATGTAGGGAAAGCTACGGTGAGCAAAGAAAAAGGGAGGGTGAAGTGAAGATGGACATGAACAGGACAAAAAGCCAAAAGGTTAGCTGTCAGAGTGTGCAGTGATGGCCTACCCATTGAAAATGTGTTGGATGAGAGGGTGAGCAGTCTTCATGTACACATCCTGGTTGGAACAAGCTTCCCCAAAGACTTCGTCAAAGTAAAACACATGCTGGAAAAAGAAAAGGGATATTTATGCCTGGTCACTCCTTTTTCACCCACCCGCGGCAGAACATATTGCCACAGCTAGGGGGTCACATGACAAGTAAAAGCAGAAGGTTCAGAGACAATTTGGTCCAGTCCTGTCCACCTTCCAGCAACATACAAACTCCATCAGCAATCAGACAGACTAGGCAAATAAAGAGGGAATGTTCTCCCATGTATTTTTCAAATCTGTCAGTCAGTTGTTGTGAAACCTAAAGCAATGTGTGTAGCCAAAGCACGGTCAGGGGGGGGTCGCACTTCCTGGATCGAACGGATGCCCAATGGTGTGGAATCCTGCAGGACCAAGTCACAGCCCCAAACCAGGCCAAGGGAAGGATCTGCCATTTCTGACATTATCAATCTAGAGGCCAAAGAAAACTCAGGCACATTCCTGTACACTCCTCCATCTGTCTGTTTTTTCTTTTCATTTATATCCCATGATTCTTCCAAGGAGCTGACGGTAGCCTTTTATTATTTCAGATGTTTTATAGGGGTTAAACCACTCCCTTTTCATGATGAGAAGCTCCTGGAGGAACATGTCCAGTGGAGCAAACTTGCTTTTTAAAGCACGGTGTCAGAATTTTACATGAAATCCTTGAGAGACCTACATTCTTGCAAGTGACAGAATTTAATGAAAGAGGAGGGTTTGGTGTAAAAAAAGTGTTTTTAACTGAAAGACCCCTTCTATGTCCTCTAATAGCTTGTTTTTTAAAGGGGGGAACCTCAAAACAAGGCAAAATTGCCCCCAATAGGGCATATAGGGATTTGGGGGAAATGAAGCCAAAGAAACTGCCCCTGGGGTTGTAGTCTCTCCCCCCCCTTAGACAGATTAACAAGAGCCACAATAGGTTAGATCCTGAGAACATGAGAACTCTGGTTCTTTCAGTTTGTGCTACTCTGCGGCATATTTTGGATTTGTTTTCCAGCATGGACAAGTGCAGCTATCGTTGCTTTTCATTTGTATAGCCAGGAATCTGTGCACGTACCTAAGATTAAAATCCAGTGTTTGTCTTAGAAATTCACTGGTGTAGTGATTCATTCCGGCAATCACATAAAGACCATAGAATGCCCAGCCTAATTGCCCTACACATAAACGCAAAATAGTCACTTGAAAATAAGCACAACTAGTATCAGTAAAGTTGTCAGTAAGTAGCTGACTTATTTTCCTCTTTTGGAAAGCTATGCATTAAGATATCTGAGAATCAGCTGCTGGGGATATGAATAAACAGCTAAAATGGCCCAAGTTGTAAACAGTAAGGATACGAAGCCTAATAGCCATATATGAAGGTTGCAGACATACAAGAATCCTGAAATGTGTTAGCTGACACTCTCTTGTGTCAACTACAAAGAAACCTGTGAGTGATTTGGCTATAAAGAGTCAGTTCATTGCCAAGAGAGAACAACAACAAACCCAAAGATAAACTCTCCCTCCCTTATTAGCAGAGACTTGAATAGTTCTAGCTTGGCAAGATCCTTGCTTACTCCTCATTGTCTCATGACGGATCAAAATTTCTTGACTTCAGTTGCCTAAAAAATAATCTGTAATCCGGACTGGGAATGAATGGAACATGTGTTTCAGTTAAACAATCCACTGACATTCGGGTGGATATTCTGAGCAGCTGGTTTTTACTACAGAGGCCAAGCCCATCTGCTGGCTTTGCAGAGAGGTTTCATCCTGCTGCTGCTGACCAGAACGAGACATTGACCTAAGGCAGCAGAGTTATCTGGAACTGAGAACAAGGCACGCAAGGCTGCTAACTCAAAACTCATTTGCTTCAGGAGAAAGATAAAAGGGAGAAGGGACAGAGGAAGTGTCTGATCGTTAACTGATCGTTATGACAGACCCCTTGCCCTCCAGTACGGGGCAGGCTGATGGAAGGCCATGCACTGTGCTGATGGACCCATGACACTGCCTTCGTTCAGCACGTAAGCCTCAAGCAAAAATGGACGATGCTCACTTTCTAGCAGGAAATAGAGAACACGCCATGCAAGAAAGAACACTTCACATTTAGAAATATAAGTCTGTCTTTTACTGTTATAATCAAAGGCAAACTGACTGCAATTACAAGAGAGTTTTAAATTTCTCAAGCAAGAGGAAGGAGACGTTTCTCATAGTTCAAATAAAATAAAGACAAGAATTTGGTTCACGTCATCCTGATGCCAAAATACAGTAGCCTCTCATGGGGTCTCCACTGTGTCTTCACAGTGCTAAAATGACCACTTTTCTGGTATAGCCTGGAAGATGACCTCAAGAGTGAGCAATACTTTTCTATTCCAAGACATGTGTGAAAATTAATCACACAGCATGAAGAGCATCAGTCAATTACAGTAATCCCATTGTGTCCCTCTCTCCCCTCCCCGCCCAGGTGTGAAGAGCAGAGAAGCTTAGGAATCAGCACACTCTTTGGCTGCTCTCAGTGCAGGTGGGCAACTGGGAGGCAGAAGAGGTGAACAAGGTATGAGTAAGAAGGGCACCCCAGCACTCACATCAGTTGATAGTTGGCCACATGTCCTAGACATTGCTTGGCTGTTAAAACTCTCAGGCGGCAAAGGCCGCAAGACCATGTTTTATTCATGTAATGGAATAAAATCCCTTTCCTAGATTACAACAACCCAGCAGCTGTTAAGCATGCTTGTACAGCCACGACAACAGTCCATTATAGGACTACCACTGAAAAGAAGGTTCGTAAGCAGCAGCAGGAACAGAATGCAGATGCTTGCTTATCATTAAAGGTCTGATGGAGAAAATTTTCCCCCAACTATGTTCCTGCAATTATACTGGCACTCTTTCACTTTAGGGGAACCATGCATGGAGTTGGCATTGGCTATCGATTGGGTGTTACTCTTGGTCTGAGTTTTATGACCACAACCCTTTACTGAGTCTGACCACCTACTAAGAGTTTTTCCTCCATCCTTTCCTGCTACTCACTACCCCCATTATAAAAATAACTTAAAAACATGTTTTGCTTAAAAAGTCCCCTTATGGCTTTTAGGCACACTGGGGCAATTTTACTATGTTCTGCCCCTAATCCAGTTGTTTCGACTTGGAGTGGCATTTGTTGTGACACCAGACATCACCTAGAACAGCTCAGAAGCAGCAAAGTCAGGAAACGGTTCCCTGAAGCCACTAGAGCATGGAAGGGGGCTTTTTAAGGAGCACTTTTTAAATTTAAAATGTTTTTCTTATGTGGTAGGCATAAAGGTTGCCCCCAAGGTCCAAGGCTGGGCATATGCAGCCTCTGGGTCATATGAAGTGCCTCCCCCTGCTTTAGAGGGTGCTTCCTCCTTTCTATCCAACCCTTACCTTCTGGGGCCTCTGGAACCGAATGCAAAAATGACAGTTTCAAGAAGGCGTTTTCAAGAAGGATTCATCTTTTGAAATCTCTGGATCTGGGTATGAGCGGGTTTACTGTTTTACATTGTGTATGCTCCACTTTTATGTGATCGGGGTCTCTTCCATCCTTTTTAAAAAGGTATTAATTTTGGAATATACATATAAATATCAAATATCTGTAGCTTTTTTCTGATTGAGACTACTGAAAATGAGTCAACGTGATACTATCATTTCAACGATTCAATAAATGCTAGGAGACTTAAGGAGAAAAAAGAGGACTGAAATTTTTTTTCAACCTGCAAAACATATTGGGTGAGGTCCACAGCCTCCTTTTTCTCGTGCAGTAGAAGAGTGTCTCTGTCTTCCACTGTGACAACGTTCAGTTCTCCACGCCGCTCCTCCTTTAAGCCTAGCGGACGCTTCCGAACACAAACCCGGATCTTCTCTTTCTCAGTCCATGGAGCCTCTTTCTCAGGGGCGTTCACTCTACAATAGATGGGATATCAAAAGGGGCTTACAAAGGCAATCCACACCACACACAGTTTGCAAATGAAATATACATGCAAGGCATATATTGGAATCTCATTATGGATGCCTGGCTGCTGAACCCCTGTTTTATCCATTTGACAGCTGTGATCCTCCTGCCACATGTAGGTAGGAATGACATCATTGGTCATCTTCACAGCAACAAAAGAATAGAAATGAAAGGTTATTACCTGGTACAAGAGCGAGGCACTCCATAATTATACCCAGAAATATGAGCTACTCTTTGTACATAATGGGCTTCGGAATCCACCAAGAGAGGAGCGACGTCGTTGCACGAACTGAGAACTGGACTTCCCACCTGGTAATCTGTCCATGTTGCAGAGGAATACAAAGAGTCTTTTCTGGGTCTTTCGTACTCGGTGTCATGACTCAACACTGACACGGCGTCATCCTTCTCTTCATTCACTGAACTGGATAACATACACAGTCCAGTTTCAGGGCTTTTTCTTCCCTCTCTTTCCTCTGCCAGGGAATCAAAGTGAAGTTGTCTCCGGGGGCCGGATCTCGTCACTGGAGGTTGGAGGTAGGCAGCACCATCCGTCTGAAAATGTTCCTGGTTTCTGCCTGCAGCTTCCTCTTCCGCCTGCAACGTTTTGATTATTCGAACAAGCTGGAAGAGGCGCTTGCGGTCCTTCATGTTATGCACGCCCAGTTCGGAATAATCTCTCATTGAGATCTTGGCCAGTTCATCAATCCTTTGAAAGCCCAGTGCAGTAAAGTTGGGATAATATTTCTCAAGTTCTGCCTCACAGAGGCATTCATAGAGACACGATGCCATTTTCTATCTAAAGCCTGTTAAACAAAAAAGACAAACTAGAATGTTTCTACATCTCTCTCTCTCTCTCTCTTTGCAACAGAACTTCTTCTAGTCAAACAGATTGACTGGATCCTGCAGTAAGCCCCCCCAAAAGTTTCAGGGCCCAGAAACAGCAGCACCTGAGAGATTTAGTCCCGTCTCTGCATACCCTACTACAGTATTCCATTTCTTATCACCGCAACCCCTACCCACGGCTCCATCTACAGATAACTTGAACAGCTCCTGGATTCTAGGCTGAAATTAAAAGCAGCTTAGACTCTTCAAAAAGAGAATGCAACTTTTTAAATTACAGAGGTACCCTGGTACAACCTGAGAATATCTGAGCATGCAGTCAGTTCTGATCAGTCATATATTCCAGATTTAACCACATAACAAAAATTCAGTTTGCAGTTAAACGACACGCATACACCAGAACACGCAACAGCTTACTTGTATCTCCCGCCTTCTGAAACTTCTCAAGTCTCTATAACTAATGCAAGAAGATGCAGGAGCAAACTCCAGCTGCTACAGAAAGCAACATGCCTAAATTTAGCTGTGCCCCTTCCATGTGTCCCAAATGCCCCGTATGGTTCATGATCAAAGGATAGGAAATAGATATGGATGGTTCCAAAAGGTCATTCCTCAAAGACAAAGGAGTCTTGCATATATGTATTAATAGAAAAACTTATATAGTATTACAGTTCCTGAGATCAAATATATTCAATTTAAACTGAATGCACATGGGATGAGCAATTATAAATAGTTGCATGCTTATTTTTTTTTTACTTTTAATAGCTTTTCTCAAGTATTTATTGGTTGCAGCATACCATCTAAATACTGAGGCATTTATTCAAATGTATTTCAAGTTACTGACACTCTCATTTTTAAACTCTCCCAAATTTTTGGATGCATAATCACAGACTGCAGTTCACAAACCAACAAATTTAGTATGCGAGTCTCTCAATACGTGATCAACCCACCCTACAGGTCAAACGAATGCTAAATGCTTCATGTAGGCTTTTTCAACCAGTTTGGAAATCATTTTATTACTGGGAAGAAAAGCAAACCTTTTCTACTAAACAAAATGCTTTATTATGCTAGCATAACAATATTTTATAATATCCTAGACATTTGAGATATTAGAGTGAGCACATGCATGTCTTCAAATGGGGGATGACTTAGAATTATTTAGATGAAGAGGTTTGGCTTTTGAAGAGGGAAACATGCTCTAAAAACCTAGAAAGCAGAACTACTTAGTGACCAAGGAATTCCTGAGGTGCAGAAAGTACATCCCACTTCTGTTTTTAACCTGTCATTTAAAGAAAAAGGAATTCTGGACATTCACCTACTTTACTAAAGGAACAACCTTGCACAGGGCAAATTTCACACTGTTCTTCAAGTCACTCCTGACTTATGGCAACCCTATAAATTAATGACCTACTAAACGTCCTGCCATTAACTGTCCTTCTCAGGTCTCTCAAACTAAATAACATGGTATTCTTTACCGAGTCAATCCATGTCATTATAGGCCTTCTTTTCCTACTACATTTCACTTTTCGAGCATTACTGTCTTTTCTAGGGAGACGTCTTGGTTCCTCATGACATGACCAAAGTAAAATAGGCTCCATTCAAGGGTCCCTCTAAGCGGCACAAGGTGTGTAGCATTGTATTGGTGCCACACACCAACAGTTAGTGTTGCCGCTCACTTGGCTGTCACAGCCAGAACTTTGCATGTGCGGGGCAGGGTTTCCGCTCAGTGCTGGCTGAAAATCAGAGGGAACATTGGCTCCATTTCATTTCAGCTTTGTGTAGGATTTGGGATTTTGATCTTCATTTGATGTAGACACTACTGTCTTTCTGGAGATCCATAGTATCTGTAAAGGCAACACATTTCAAATGAATCAATTCCCCCCCCCACACCCATTCATGGCAATCAGGAATACCATAGTATGGATAATCTTGTCCATAGTCTCAATCCCCCCCCCCCCAGTCAGCTTTCTTCATTGATTAGTTCACACCCATTCACGGCAATCAGGAATACCATAGTATGGATAATCTTGTCCATAGTCTCAATCCTTACATTTAAGGCTTATTAAGCTCCTTCACAACTGCCCTTCCAAGTCCCACTGTTCTTCTGGTTTCTTAGCTACTGTCTGTTTAGATAGATGATTCAATTAAAATATAGGATTATCAACAATTTCAGTTTCTTCACCATCAACATTAAAGTTAATTCTTCCATAATGATTACTTTTCTTAATATTCAGCTTTTGCAGTTTCTTCTTCTTCTTCTTCATCTGTTGCCTTTTCAAGTACAGTACTTGACTTTTTTTACTGGAACTATTAAGTCTCTTCTGATAATGTGGCCACTGATTCTACATCTCAGTCTGGTGTCTGAGCTCTGAGTAATCCACCTAGCAGTCTAGATTTGTCAGAGAGTGGCATTCACTCTGTGACTGTCTCTGGATCAGGATGCATAATGCAAGTTTCCCCCCTGAGTGTGCTTACTTTACATACTCTTCTGATGCCTTGGCAGCTTAGGAAATCATAGAATTACAGAAAAAATGAGTTGGAAGAGGCTTATAAGGCCATTGACTCCAACCTCCTGCTTAATACAGGAATCCCAAAGTTAAAGTCTATCTGACAGGTGGCTATCTATCTTTCTCTTGAATGCCTTCAATGCTGGAGAATGCATCACCCCCTGAGGTCATTGGCTCCACTGCTGTACTGCTCTAACAGTTAGGTCATTTTTTCCCCTCATATTCAACCAAAATCTGTCTTCCTGTAACTTTGGCCCATTATGTACATGTCCTGCCCTCTGGGGTGATGGAGAACAGATCCTGCCCCTTCTCTGTAGGACCGTCTTTCAAGTATTTGAAAAGTGCTATTGTATCTCCTCTTAACTGCAAGAACAGTTAAGAATTTTTTTCTGATATTCAGCCTAAATCTGACTTCTTGAACTTCTGTGGCCAGCATCTTCAGAGGACAGGAGTTACAACAGAGTTCTAACTCCTGTCCTCTGAAGATACCGGCCAGAGACTGGTGAAACGTTAGGAAGAAAAACCTCCAGAACACGACCAAACAGCCTGAAAAACCTACAACAACCATTGGATCCCAGCCGTGAAAGCCTTTGAGAATACACTCTTCTAGTTTGTCAGCATCCTTCTTAAAGTGTGGTGTCCAGTACCAAATCCTACACCAGTGCTGATTCCTTCTTAAAGTGTGGTGTCCAGAACTATGCACAGTACCAAATCCTACATCAGTGCTGACTAGAGGGGAACTGGTAGCTCACATGATTTGAGGACTGTACTTCAGTTAATACAGCTTAAAATAACATTAGCTATTGAAATTTTATGCAAATCCCTACAAAGATAGCAATTTTGTCTGAGTGACCATGACGCATCTACGATACATTAAAGCAGTTCAGAGCTACAAGCAGAAGAGTCAATTTGCAATTCAAATCATATTTAAGATGCAATTTCACTTCAGATGGAAACCAATGGCCGATTTCCCTTTGGTCTCACTTAGGCCTAGATTAAATTCTTAGCCACTGGACTATGAGCCTGCACTTCAGAACCTGTACATATAATTAGCTTACTCTGACAAGTGCCTCTGCTTTTTATCTCTTCCCACCCATTTTCTAAATCATTCATGACTCTCCTTCACCTTTCGTTTTGCTTTCGCCACCACCCAATGAAATACATTAGGCAGGACAGAGTTTCCCCATCACTTTCATGGCAGAATGGAGACTTCAGTTTTGTTCTTCTGATCTGAAGGCCAAAGGCTATGTCCTCTGTGCTAGGTAAAGGTTCCCCTTGACATTTAGTCCAGTAGTGTCTGACTCTAGGGCACGGTGCTCATGCCCGTCTCCAAGCCGCATTTGTCCAAAGACAGTTTCTGTGGTCACGTAGCCATCACGACTAGACACGGAACGCTGTGGCCTTCCCACCGAGGTGGTACCTATTTATCAACTCGCATTTTTACATGCTTTTGAATGGCTAGGTTGGCAGGAGCTGAGACAAAGCAATAGGAGCTCACTCCACTGCGTGGACTCGATCTTACGACGGCTGGTCTTCTGACCTTTCAGCATAGAGGCTTCTGTGGTTTGACCCGCAGCGACACCACGTCCCCTTCTGTACTAGAGCAGTTCTCAAAATGGCTTATGACCCCACAAATACATACTAGTTTTTCAATCTGTTGTGACTCTCACGCAAATACAGGCCAATTTGTCAAAAGTAAATAATTTTTATGCCTGGCTCTGTCAAGGAGGGAACTGCAGATTTCTTGTTTCCAGGGCCATCTGGTGGTACAAGCACAAGATACGCATTGTCTCAGCATCTCAATATTTATAAGTCAGGATGATTTTATATCTGCAAGGCAACAATATCCAGAGACATGCCCCCTGGAAAAAAAAGGAAACAGAACTAGTTTCTAGCAAGTCGTGTTGCTTTCATCTTGCACACTGGAAAGCATGAATGCTTCCTCAAAACTCTTGGAGCAAGTTGGTGGCCCAAGAAATGTGTCCGTAAGAATAAACTGCAGCAGGGTGGATCTCTGGGGTTAGGGTGCGGCAAGGAATTTATCACCGGGATTAGAATTTCAACACCCACAGGAACAGCTGTTGCTTTCCCCCTTTCTTCCAAGAGGTCACAGGGCACATAGCAAAGCAAAATGGCTTCCCTCCCCCCTTGCTTCGTCAAAACACGACTCTACCACACCCTTCAAAAAACAAAAAAATGCACTGTCTATCTTGTGATAATCTATCAAATCTAGACAATGGCCTAAATCCAACTGTTAGCTGTGTGTGTTCTGTGCCCTCAACTCGGAACCGACTTAGAGTGACCCTAGTAGGGTTTACAAAGCAAGAGAGATATTTTAAGGACTAGTTCCACCTGTTCTTCTCCCCCAGTGAGTTTCCATGGCCAAGCAGGGATTCAAACTCAAAGAGGCCCATGGAATGAATGGGACTTTGGCAAGCCCAGCCTTCTTTACTTATGTC